CTCGTTGAATAGGCAGCAGCTTTAGGTTCCCAAGGATCTTCTAGAAACCGTAGGCTGTTTGTTGAATTGGCAGTGGCTTTAGGCTTCCAAGGATATGCAGCGATCGCTAGTTGGTCACATACAAGATGCTCAGCTATTTACGCTAGCTAGTTACATCAATGATGCTTAACCGCATGAACCATGTGCGTGTAACCGGAGCTAGAATTCTGTATCTTCGTAAAGATCATGTATGTATTGCACCAGGGATGCCCAACTACGAATGCTAGTTGGTCACATCGTGGATGCTCAAAAGGGATGTTACTGCAACAGGTAAAAGGAATACATTTCGTAACATGAAGATTGCTAGTTGGACATATACAAAATACTCAGCCAGGGGTTGCCAGTAGCTAGTCACATCAAGAATGCTCAACTGCGGTCCATCTTCATAGGTAGCCGTCCAAAGGGCGAGCTGCGCAGCGTGCCTCATCTCTCTGAGGCTCGGGTCCTCGCAGATCAAGCTAAAGTTGAAATATGAGAAGAAGGATATCGAACTTAGCTGAAAGGTAGAAACTGTGTAACAACTGGATAGTACTCGGCTTGCGAGGTAGTGCTTGTCAAGCTGTTTGAGTCTTCGAGCTTTATTTCACCTAAGCAGAGCTCATGGAGAAGTGGGAGGTCATGCGTAGTATTTCCGCAAGGTATAGGCATTCCACTACTTGTCGATCTCTTTGTCGTTCATGGTGGTGAGGGTGTAGCTATCCTTGCTGCTTGCTCTACTGACCTTGTATGGACTTTCCTAGATAGGATTCATCTTTTTAAAGCATTCTTTTTGGGCAGTGATGAATGCTTTTCTTAGGACTAGATCTCCAAGCTGAAATTGCCAGATTTTTACCCTTCTGTTGTAGTTGGAGACGAGCTGCTGCTGGTAGGATGTAATACGGGTGATGACCTTTTCGTATTCATCCTCTGCCAGATCTAGATAAGTGGTCATCTCCTCTCCGTCCTTTGTGCTACATACTTTTATGTGAGGTGGATGACACTCACTGTGGGCTTAGCCACGAATGAACACTTCACCTGGAGGTTGTCTATGTTGATCATCGGAGTGTGGCCCTAACCGTCAATGTATGCTCGTTCAGGGGACTAACCTAGAGTGCACGTTCGTCCACGCGCTAAGATGAGAGTATACGCTATCTCAGGGGCTTAGCCAGGAGTGTATGTTGCCATAACGCTAGTTTCGTGGCTGGCCGATGAGCTACTTACCGGGACACTGCTGGAGAGAAACGCCATCGCCTGCTCTTGTCCTACTTCGAGACACCTCGCCTGGGGCACGATTGCAGCTCGGTGCACTGCAGGAGCTAATTTACCAAGGTAAACGTCTACTTGATTTGTGGAAATGTAATGAACTCCGGGTGCAAAACGTGAGCCATAATGGGTTAGATCTGCAGTAAGGTGGGCTGAAAATACCCTTGGTTCAACCATTGGGCTCAGAATATGGATCTAGGCTGGTTGAACTGGTCTTGGACCATGCTGAACAGTCTGGAATGTTGAGGGAATAAGTCAGGTGCATAAGCGCTGAGCCGCCTCAGTTTGTCCTGTTTGGCCTTGAACTGGAGGCTCGTTGAGCTCGTGCTGGGTTGCAGCATGCGTCGCGATTGACTCGACTTGGGTTGCCTTAGTTTGGGCAGCTCACTTCCAAGTGAAGGTGGTAGGCGCCAGGGGCTACTACTGAAGGAAAGTAGCTGCCTGGTTCTGTGCCTGATAGCTATTGGTGTTGTGGACCTTTTGCCCCTAAGGGTTCCTCATAATGAGTAGGGTTGCCCCGTGGGCCACTACAGCGGTGGCTGCAGCTGCTAGCATGGCCACGGTACCCCGTGGAGGCAAAATAGTGGTCTTTGCCATGATAAGCCTCATGGTGCAATGACGTAGAGCCACGTCGTGATCTCCATCGTTTGGTCCATGTCTTCAACTTGGGAGGTCCTATTAGTTGTAGTTTCTGAATTCCCTGATTAGGAATGTATTTATGATAAAAATAAGGAATTATCATATCATAAATACCTTTGACTTTTCCTATGAGCAGGGGTGTCTTGAGCAATCATTGATCTCTACTTGCTCTACCTCAGTTGCCCATGGTGAATGAGACTGCTCCTTGCTCTTTTAATAGGAACAATGTAGTCTTTTTTGGGAAATAATCCACATGTCAACTCTATGATTTTTGAGATTATTTTTTACTCCACATTATCTTTTCCTCTGCTCCTAATCTCATTTTTTTCTCCATCACAAAAGATTAGGAGTTTAGCAACCCAGCAGCGTGGCAATGAACAATAGTAGCTAAGCCACCACCAAACTCATCGGCCTACTTTGCTTGAACCCAGTAGTTCCCTCCCCGCCATTTTCGAAACCTCCCTCTGGATTTTCCAAACCATCAACTGGGTTATCGTTAAAAAGGCTCAACCCCTAGTGGACTGCACTGGCGAACCCATAGCTCCGGCGATGAGCTAAGAAAATGACCTGAAATTAGACTTAAGGTAGGTGTCAAAGAATTAAAGATGTCGCTCCTCCTCCTAATTAAGGTTTTCTCTTACAAATTTTCATAGAGACAAAAAGTTAGTTGGCAATGAAAAAGGCGTTGGGCTCCCTTTATTTATTCCATAGCCTTCAATTCCTTATTCTCTAGTTATGAGTAAAGCATTTTAGCTACAATTACAATGCTCACGAACTATTATCCCTCTCTTTTGCCGGAAAAGATAAAAGTATATTAAGATCAATCGTGCGTAAGTGCCCGATTATTTCTAATTGTTGATATCATAATATCAGTATATTTCATAATTTCGTATACATTTGTGGTCGGAAAGCATATGACTTCATTTCATTATTCTTTATTATGAAAATTGGCCTTTAATAATAGTGTTCAAAGGGTCCCACTTATACCTACCTCACCTGCCAACGGAGAACCTTCTAAACTCCCATTATTTTTATTGGTAAAACAGGAGGACCACGAAATCAAGGATTTGGATCCTCTCCTAAGCTAATAGAGAGGATCCTTCTGACCAATCATCGTGGGCCATTGGATTTTTATCTAACGGCTATAATCATTATAATTTTAAAGGGATCCCTTGTTTATAGCTGTTGAATAAAAATCAAACGGTCCACGATGATTGATCAGGAGGATCCTCTCCATTAGCTCAGGAGAGGATCCAAATCCCGAAATCAATCTCACAAATTAGTTTTTTGTTTTTTTTTTAAAGATAAATCCCAGAACTTGTTCTCCAACCTTCTAATTTAAAATTGATAAAGTACAATTCAATTATTGTTTTGTGAACTTTTCTTTTATTTAAATGCATTCTTGGTCTCTCCATGTCACTTTCTTTGTCCATTGGTCGTGATAGATCTAATGTGCTAAATGGCTTTCACAAAAGGGCATAATATTAGGGTTTGGAACGGATTAAAATATCTTAAATTCTGATTTCCATTTTCCATTTAAAAGTTCTTTAGATTACTTATTTTTTATATGTTTATTTTCACCACTCTCATATGAATTGAAATTCAATGATTAAGAATCCAACTTGATCGGATTCAACTTGAAATTTGATCTCTTACAATCGATTAAGGAGCGGATGGTTGAATGCCACTGGAATAGGCTAGATTTATGGGTTGAAACTCTTCAAGATAGTTAAGTTTGTGTTGTCATAACTCCTTTTTCTGCGTGTTATTGCCAATGTTCTTGTTAAAACTGTGACCAACGTTGGCTGACAGAAACTTTTGATGCCTCTTGGTGCTAACCAAGGCTTATGGGTTTGTGGTGGCGCTACGGTGACCATGGTGGCTCGGGCTGAGAATCCCCTTACCACCCATCCTTTTGTGCGATGTCCTATCTACAACCGGCGTCTCATGTGCCTTTCCTAGCCACGCCTTCTGCCAACTCTGTACCTGCCTCTCTTATTTGAACACGTAATTGACTCTACTTTTATTTTTTAGTTTAGTTTATGCTTTTGTTTATACCACTTAGAGCGGGTTAGGTAGTAGTGTTGTTTGTGTCGCTATGATGATTTGTGTGAACTTCTTGTTTGCGATGACTTTATGTGAGGGTTTAGGCTCGTTGCGTCTATTGTCATTGTGAAAAATTTAAATTGGATATCTTGATTCTAATGGTATGTGTGGTGGTCATGTTGGGGTTTAAAATCGTTTATGTTTTATGCGAATTACCTCTAGATCAAGAAATTAGTCACTACAGAAATGTACCTATCTAACACCTCTTGTAATTGGTTATTCTCGGTATAAAACACTCATCGATTTTGTAAAAACAAAAGGTTTGTGTTGCCACATTATCAATCCCAAACGGTTGGAATTGAGTTTGACCTAGTAGTCCAAAGTCTTGTTAAAATTCTCCACACAAATTCATCAATAACCAACTATAGATTACAATGAATCTAAATTATAAATTTACACAAAAATACACTTAATCAATAATTTTATGTTGTTAGACTATCTGAAAAGACAACATTTTTTTATAGTATGTAATAAATATTAGACAAGAAATAATATTTGTCAAACTTACATCTTTTTGCTTTTAAGTTGAACCTCACTTGATCAATTTAGACAATCAAGCTTCACGAAACTTTTCAAGCATTGAGCTTGAATGTATTTGGTCTCCAATTAGTTTGAGCTCAAATCAAATCAACTCAATACGTTCAAATCTCATATTAACGTAGGAAGGGAGAATCGAACTTAACTACGAGCTTGATAACGCTCCTTTTTGGATCCGAATCCTTGCCTATTAAACCCGCCTTTACTTGCACCCCTACCCACTATATAACATTAAACATCATTTCATAAATGAGGAAGAAATTTGGCAAAAGTAAAAATCAGAAGAGCTCTTGTATGACATGTATCATTGTTTCTCAACGAATCCAACAAATCTTTGCCTAGCCAAAAAGGAAAAAGAAAAAGGGAAGAAATGGTAAAAAAGAAAAAAGGCACTACTAGTACTACCCCCTATTTATAGATTGATGGGTACCCCACAACTCCCAGCAGCAGCACCAGCCTAATTCGTTGTTGCCCTTTGTCTTTAAACCAAAAAACCCTGCAGCAGCCTTCTTGTTCCTTAACAACCATTTCTCTCTTGGGCTTCTTCGTGTCCATGGCAACCAGATATCTTTCTATTTCCCTTTCACAACCATTTCTCTGTAACTTTTCATAGTTCACCCTATCTCTTTGTTATAATAATATTTCTACCTGCATTCCCCAAACCCATTTGACAAACACTCATTGCTATCAGAAAGTTGACCCTTTTTTTTTCAGAAGAAGAAAAGAAGAGCAAAAGACAGCAACCCAGATCAGTGATTAGTAGTTAAAGTTTACTACGCATACAAAAAATGAATCTTGATCAAGACCCTGATCATCCTCTGCCATTGGAGAGGCTCTATGACCAAGGTCCTCCGCCATTTCTCGCCAAAACGTATGACATCGTCGATGACCCATCAACCAACCACATAGTTTCATGGAGCAGAGACAACAACAGCTTTGTTGTTTTGGATCCCAATAGCTTTTCCATGAGTCTTCTCCCCAGATATTTCAAGCACAACAATTTCTCCAGCTTTGTCAGGCAGCTCAACACCTATGTAAACATCACTCTCTAGCACTCCCCTTTTATCTGAATATTATGCAAAGTTTGCAAACCCGAGCGTAGTCCTGTTGGCTAGAGTAGCGTACTCCCCTTCTGCACGAAGTTCGAATCTCACTTGTCGTGGTTAAGATTGGATTAGATTATCGCTCAAAAATGAAATTTGGATATTGAATACATATTGGTGAGGTTCTTTGGATGTGACTAGTTTGTGCTTTCATGTTCTTGAAACATCTGTAAATGTATCACTTTTGTTTGTTTAATTGGGTCCCTTTTGTGCTTTTTTTAATGGGGGTTACTAAATGTGGACATATTGATTGTTAAATGGCTTCAAAAGAGAAACTTCAGGAACCAATGCATAAAATATGCACGACTATTACAAAGGGAGCTGCTTTTGCTTCTTTTGTATATAAATTTTATATCTTGATGAATCAGTTTTTGTTTGTTTGATTTTTTTTTATCTCACTTTCCTTTTCGTTGGATGTGCCGGATTTAAAGCTTCATACGGATGATGTGATCATAGAGAAGTTCTTTGATTTGCTTAACGTAGGGATTTAGGAAGGTTGATACGGACAGATGGGAGTTTGCTAATGAAGCGTTTCTCAGAGGGCAAAAGCATCTTTTAAAGAACATCAGGAGGAGGAAGGCATCCCATCTTCCTCAAGCTTCACAGAAAACTTTGGACTCTTGTGTAGAAGTTGGGAGGTTTGGATTGGACATAGAGATCGACCAGTTGAGGCGCGATAAACAAGTACTCATGGGGGAACTAGTGAAGCTTCGACAGCAACAGCAAGCTAATAGAGTTTACCTCCAAGGAATGGAAGATAGACTGAAGAGGACAGAGTTGAAACAGCAACATATGTTGAGTTTCTTGGCAAGGGCAATGCAGAATCCTAATTTTGTACAACAATTGTCGCAGCAGAAGGACTTAAGGAAGGAACTGGAGAAAGCAGTTACCAAGAAGAGAAGGCGGACTATTGAGCAAGGGCCTAGTAATGTTGAGGTGGATGAATTAGGCCATGTTGGAATAGAGACTTATGTTAAAGTTAAACCACAAGAATATGGTGACATTTCTGATCAGTTTGAAGTTTCGGAGTTGGACCAATTTGCTATAGACATGCCGGGGGTAAGCAGAAGCCAAAATGTTCATGGTGACCAAGAATGTATAGAGAGAGACGAAGAACATGAAGGTAGAGGCAAAGACCTGGATAAGGGTTATTGGCAAGACTTGTTCAATGAGAATATTGATGAAGAAATTGGTTTGCTTGGTGTTCAAGAAGAGGATCAGGAAGATGTCAATGTGTTAATTGAGGAGCTTGGTTTTTTAGCTCCCAGTCCCAAGTAAAGAAGACGATGAGCTTCTCATGCATACTTTCTTCAAGGGTATGGGTTTGAGACCCTCATCATCAAGATATCATGAAGTTCCTTGCCCGTTTCTAAGTTAGCATTGACGAATGAACGAACGCATGAATACTGAGAAGTTACACTGTTCCACTACAAACAGCTACCTGTGGTTAGTTTCCTTTTAGGATCACTTGAATTTCTTGGTTTTCTTGTATCTCTGCTTTCCATTCACTTCTCGTCTAAAATCTGATTGTATTCCAGCTAGTGTTTGAAAATCAAAGGTATGTACTTATCCTGAACGATCATTAATCTTGACATGACTTTAGAAATTCAGTTATTCAGTTAATAATTTGTACCAATTCTATGTTTTTCCCCCTAAGAGTATAATTTATCATTCAATGAAGGCGATTCATACATCAGACATGATGGTCTCACCAAGACGATTAAAAGCTTGAAATCTGAATTGCATCCTCAACAGGGCATCAAGAGGGTGGATGCCATGTTTCAGTGTTTCCACACTTCATAAAATGACTGCTGCTTGTGTTAATTAACTGTGTTAGATCACTTATGGTTTTATAAAACAACATTGTTGTTCTACAAGCTATCAAGTTCCACCATGACATATAAAAGATTAACTGAGGAAATGAATTTAGATTTAGGTGTTAGATGGTGGTGGGTGCAAAACTTTTAATTTGGACTTGCAAGTCAAGTGGTTAAAAACGTTTACTTTTACATACAAAAACGAGGTCCTATTTCGACCCCCCAAAGCCAATATCGCTTGTAATGCGTTATATGGTTGTGATCTTTTCTTAAAGCTTAGGGGGCCAAGAGCCTAACATAATAACGAAGCATACTATACATGTCCAGTTGTTAAAGATACGGATTGGCAGTATATCACTTTTTCTCTTTCCGGGCCAAAGAGAATTATTATTTTTTTTTTAGAATATTAGCTTGCTTTAACTGACAGAAAATGTTACGGTGCAACATCTGCAATTCGTTGGAAGACATGGAAAAGCTTGTCTTCTGAAAGCGATAAGGTTGCACATGATGTTCATGACTATGGCTGCCATTATCGAGGGAGTAATTTTTCCTGAGTTCGTAACACCGCCACGTACCGCCACGTAAATTAGTAACATTACGTATAGCTGCCATAACCTAGCAGTTTTTATAGATTAGTAACTTTTCGTAACAGTGTAGCTGCCATTCTCTCTCCCCTCGGCACCCTCCCCACCAATTATTGCGACCTCTCCACCATCTTGCTCTTCATCAAATAGTGAACCTCCTTCACTAGAACAACCCAGAAAAAAGGACCAAAGAGATTTTAAATAATCAACATCACCTACAAAAGGATTTCAAACAATCAACCTATTTTATTTACAGAAAGAGGTAAAGGGTGGTGTGGATGCAGGAGGTTGGATGTAGGGGGCGGGGCGGGGCGGATGGTTGGGGGGAGGGGGCTCGGGTGGTTGCGGGTGGCTAGAGGTAAAGCTTGGTTTAATTTTTTTTTTTTTAATAATAAAAAACTAGATCCAATGCTTTACATTAAGGAAACTTTAGAGACTAAAATTAATAGAATTTTAGTTCAAGACGAAGCCTAAACTATACTGAAAGTTCAAGGACCAAGTTTACTCAATTCACAATTGACAAATTTCCCACATTTCCTACGTAGGGTTTCTACGATATTATTTCGCATGTAAAAAAACCTTTCTCCACACGGGACATTTTATTTTTTAGAATAAAAAAGTACTGTTATTCTCGCTAATTTGTATTATTTTCTACTCATATATATATATCTCAATGTAAATGTTCATAACAAGTTGACAACTGATTACAATATAAGCGAAAAAATATGACTGTAGACATCAAAATTTCGGTGAAATAAATGTTGACCAATAATTAAAATTTCAACGCTCACGTATCACATAAATTTTACATGTAGCGTGTGACTCAACGAAAAATCGAAATAAATTGGAAAAGTCATCAAATAGGACACGTGTCAATACCTGGCAGAAATGATTTATTTCATCTTATTATTTAAATCCAAAAATCAAGTTTTGGAATTCTATAAATAGGAGGCCAAAGGCATTCATTTTGGGAAGAAGGAAGGAAGAAGGAGAAGAAGGAAGGAAGGAAGAAAGGAAGGGAAATTGATATCACACCAAAACCTTCAAGCTTCGGAACTCTAAAGCTCTCAAGCAAATCCCGAAGGATCAAGAAAGCACTCTTCGTTCTTCGTCAAATCAACCTTCAAGATCAAACCCCAACGGCCCTTGAAGAACTTCCACCAACTCAAGATCAAGCCCCGACGGCCCTTGAGGAAAGTGTTCATCGTTCATCATCCAATCGTTCTTCAAGATTAAGCCCAAAAGCCCTTGAAGATCCGCTCATCCATCAACCTTCAAGATCAAGCCTCAACGGCCCTTGAAGAACTCCCACTAACTCAAGATCAAGCCCCGACGGCCCCTTGAAGAAAGTGTTCATCGTTCATCATCCGTTCATCCTAAGTTCAAGCCCCAACGGCTCTTTGGATCAACAACCTCAACAAATCCACACATCCAATCGTTCTTCAAGATTAAGCCCAAAAGCCCTTGAAGATCCGCTCATCCATCAACCTTCAAGATCAAGCCTCAACGGCCCTTGAAGAACTCCCACTAACTCAAGATCAAGCCCCGACGGCCCCTTGAAGAAAGTGTTCATCATTCATCACCCGTTCATCCTAAGATCAAGCCCCAACGACCCTTTGGATCAACAACCTCAACAAACTCATACACCTATTCTTCAAGATCAAGCCCAACGCCCCTTGAAGATCCATTCATCAACTGTGCATCCTTAGATCAAGCCCCGACGGCCCTTTGGATCAACAACTCATCCACAAACCCACATCGTACGAAGATAGAATCAGAGGATCAAATTACAAAGAGATTGTAACCCCAAAATCATTAAACACAAAATATATATTTTGTACACGTATTCTTGTCGCTTGTGTTTCAGGAATTATTCGTGTTTACAAATTTGGCACGCCCAGTGGGACATCTCTACCTCTCATCTCTATCCTCAAATCATCAAAAAACGCAAATGGCATCAAGAAAGGATCAAGTTGTTCCTGCAATCAAAGCAAAGAACAAGAACATCATCGCCGCAAGTGGTGATATTTCGGGCATCATAACCTGAAGTAAGGCAAGAGATCTTTTTGCCGCGGCTTCCGCCCCTGCATTAACCCTGTCAAAGGAACAAGAGCACCTGAGGTACGAGCCTGTGATCACCCTAGCCTCGCTAAGGGCATCAAGGGGGGAAAGCCCGAGGAAATACTCAGAGTCTCTACTCTCCGACGCTGATTCGAGCGGCAGTACAACCATGCAAGTCATGACCACTGGAGCAACTTCAATCGAGGAGCAGCTAGCTCAGATGAATGAAGCAATCGCAAAGCTCACACGAACTGTGGAAGAGAAGGACTTGCAGATTGCCGCACTTGTCAACCAACTAGATGCGCTGCCCGACGTGAAAGTCGACCCAATTGTTGGCCTACTAAAGAAAGAAGGTGACGAAGAAGAGGAGCCTCCAGCGGAGAAAGTTGAAGAGAAGCCGAAGTTAGACCAAGCAACGACATCCATGGGATCTCTCTCTATCCAGCAGCTACAGGAGATGATCGCAAGCACTATCAAGACACAGTACGAAGGAAGCTCGCATGACTCCGTACTGTACTCAAAGCCTTACTCCAAGAAGATTGACGCTTTGAAGATGCCAAGGGGTTATCAGCCCCCAAAATTCATGCAGTTCGATGGAAAAGGCAACCCGAAGCAACATGTCGCCCATTTCATTGAAACTTGCAACAATGCTGGGACAGAGGGAGACTACCTCGTCAAACAGTTCGTGCGTTCGCTAAAAAGTAACGCTTTTGACTGGTACACTGACCTCGAACCTGAGTCTATCAACAGTTAGGACCAGCTAGAAAGGGAATTCCTCAACCGTTTCTACAGCACTCGTCGTACTGTAAGCATGCTAGAGCTGACCAGCACGAAACAGTGGAAAGAATAACCCGTCGTCAACTACATAAATAGATGGCGTTCTTTAAGTCTGGATTGCAAAGATCGGCTTTCTGAAACCTCTGCCATTGAGATGTGCGTTCAAGGCATGCAGTGGGGACTACACTACATCCTTCAAGGCATCAAACCACGAACATTTGAAGAGTTAGCCACCCGCGCCCATGATATGAAGTTAAGCATCAACCGTCATGGGAAGAAAGAACAGATCGCTGACTACTAGAATGACAAAGTTTTGGGGCCAAAGGTGGATAAGGCTACGTGGAAACCCACCAAGGAAGTAATGACGGTCAACACAACTCCAGTCAAAATCCCTACACGAAGCAAGGCGATTCAAACCGAAGCTTTTCGTGATCAAGAGATACGTAGACGCACTTTGAAGGAGCTTGAGGAGAAGACTTATCCATTCCCCGACTCTGACGTGGTTGCCATGTTGAAAGACTTGCTTGACAAAAAGGTGATCGACCTACCTGAGTGCAAACGGCCAGAAGATATGAACCGTACTGACAGTCCAAGGTACTGTAAATTCCACCGCTTCATTAGTCATCCGACGGAAAAGTGCTTTGTGCTAAAAGATCTCATCATGAAGTTGGCTCAGAAAGGGATCATCGAGCTAGATCTTAATGATGTGGTGAAGTCAAACTATACCACCGTCACTTCTGGCTCTTTGAACTCAAAATCTTCACCTCAACCGCTGGGGGCATGCTCCAAAATCATGTCATTCAAGTCAAGTGAAGTTGAAGGATGGACTTATGTCACTCCAAAGAAAATGCACAAGAAACATAGGTCTCCTCCACAAGTTCATCAATCAGAAAGGGGGCAAAGCAGCTACCGTCAACCTTCAAAGCTACATGAAAGTGTTGAGGATGATGAAGTTATGACACAAAGATCGTCCGTTGCCATCACAATGCGCGATTTCTTCCCAAAAGACGTCTTCAATCACTCAGTCAAGACTCCTTGCTATGAAGATTGCAAAGAATGCCCCTCTAAGATCATTTGACAAATTCACACAAGCTCCTCGTTCGCACGAGCCTAAAAGGCGACAACCAAAGCTCCTTGTCCGCACGAGCATAAAAGGCGACAACAAACGCTCCTTGCTTGCATGAGCTGAAAATGCAAACGGCACCAAGACGCTCCTGGCCCGCAAGAGCATAAATTGTGTACGGCAAAATCATCATCAAAATCATCATCAAAACCATCGCTCGTTTGAACTACGTTATGACTTGATCTCTTCGTTGGAAGAGTACGTAGGCAACTTGAAACTTCAAAACTTCAAGTACAGTCACATCAAAATAAATAAATAAAT